CAGGGCCTCGGGCATGAGATAGAAGTAGAGGAACTCGACAAGCTTGAGCTTGACTTCGCGGGAGGTGGCGCGTTGTTTGAAAAGTGATGTGACGGTGAGGAGGCCATCGAGGCCCTCGAATGTGCGTGTGTTTGATGGGCAGTCCAGTAGGGCGGTGACGAGTGTTAGTAGGGTTGCTGATTGCACGGCTGGACAGTTGATGGGGTCGAGAAGGTCAAGGAGGAGGTTCATGTAAATTTCGCGGGCGAAGAGAGAGCGCGAGCCGCGGTGGAGGAGGAGGGCACCTTGGATTAAATCCAGTGTGCAGACAATGAGCATGTCGTTTGTCCCGTTACTCCCTCGGCCGAGAAGGTGTTCGAGACAGGATACTAGGCGCATGGCGACTGAAGCATTTTGTTAGTACCCAAGCCCTAGTTGCGATAGAAATTTCAAAGACATACTATTCCATTGAAAGCTTTCCTGCAATTTGGAAAATTCCCGAAAGGCCGGATCGTCTCGCAACTCGGGCAACGTCTTTGGGACGGGCTGGATATCGGGGGAGCGCGATCTCCGGTCCAAGACCGGCTTAGGTTTTGATAAACATATCTGTGCGAGGAGTCCTTCGACCTGGCGTAATCCTTTCCGGATCTTGCTAGGCTCATAAGAGGAGAGGTAATCGAACGAATGGGCTAATAGAGCCTCCATTGATAAATCAGATGTGAGATAGAAAAGTGAGCTATTCTACCGAAATGAAAAGCAAAGGAACATTCTTAAACAAAAGATCCAAAAAAGAAAGTGGAGAAGGTTCGTGTTGTCCCAGTTGGGAATGGATGAGGTCAGTCGGGGCCCTTCGCGGCTTTCCAAGGTTCGCAGTAAATAAAGCGCCGTTGCCCCCGGCAACGCGCCAATAAACCAGGGAACTCGTCGCATCGGGACACTCTTAACTCGCTTTCTTTTAGATCCACCCCTGGCGTCAATCAGATGCGACTTTAATTATAGTATGGAGTAAGTATGGAGTAAGTATGGAGTAAGTATGGAGTAAGTATGGAGTGCTTAAATCGTGTACACTGTATACACCGTATATTCACACCGTGTTCACACCGTGTTTCCCTTGCTCCGTTGCTACAGCGAACATGATATTTTCTCTGGATTATTGAATACATTTGGGTTGTCCCTGCTTATGACCTATCAAATCATTATAGTTTATCCAGGGCTGCGTTGCCAATCAAATTGATGTATCTCATTTGTCAGCCTTATATTCGGTGGCTGGTGGTTGGTGGCAGGTGGAAGGTGGCTGGTGACTGTTGGCTCAAGTGGCTCAGCCCCGCCGCCCGATTAGTCAACCTCGGCATCCGATCATACCATCTACAACTGGGTACAAAGTATGTATACATCTTGCATGATACGTTTTGCGATATAGTTGTCATAGTATATCAATCTACATATGTAGCTATACAAACATGAAAAAGTGGTGTTGATGTCATCTATACATGAACCAAACTTCTAGCCCCGGAGGTCCCTAGCTCCCTAGCTCCCTAATTTCTGCCGCCTACCGAACCCCTCCATCCCCCCATCCGCAATCATGAATTCAACATCCTTCCAACCACCGAGTCCCGTTCCTCCTCGGAAAAGCTCGACCAATGCAACAAATGGCACCGGCAGCCCCTCGCACCGACACACACTGTCGGTGACAGACGAAGAGCCTCCAAAAACCGGACATCGTCGCAACAAGTCCAGCGTCGACGGCACCAAGTACAAGGATGGAACATGGTCATCGAAGAACGACAAGATTCTCATGGGTCCGTACGACTACGTACACGAACACCCGGGAAAAGATATTCGGCGCCAACTGATCCACGCTTTCAACGCTTGGCTGCAGGTCCCGCCGGCGAGCCTGGCGATCATCACCAAGGTCGTAACGATGCTGCATACATCATCACTATTGTGAGTCCACCCCACACCGCCTCCCTGCTCACACCCGATCCATATCCGATGCTGACGGCGTGACGCCAGAATCGATGACGTCGAAGACAACTCCGTCCTCCGCCGCGGCATCCCCGTCGCGCACAATATCTTCGGAACAGCGCAAACAATCAACTCCGCAAACTACGTGTACTTCCTCGCCCTGCAAGAAGTGCAGCAGCTCAACAACCCGGCCGCAATCGACATCTACGTACAGGAGATGCTGAACCTGCACCGGGGCCAAGGGATGGATCTCTTCTGGCGCGACACGCTGACCTGCCCGACGGAAGACGAGTACCTGGAAATGGTCGGTAATAAAACGGGCGGGCTCTTCCGGCTCGCGGTGAAACTGATGCAGGCGGAGAGTACGACGGGGAAAGACTGCGTTGCCTTGGTGAATGTCATGGGTCTGATATTCCAGATCTGCGATGATTACCTCAACCTTTCGAGTACTGTGTACACGGAGAATAAAGGGTTCTGTGAGGATCTCACCGAGGGAAAATTCTCCTTCCCGATCATTCACAGCATTCGCTCGGACCCGTCTAATCGCCAGCTGATTAATATCCTTAAGCAAAATACCAAGGATGTGGAGGTTAAGCGCTATGCGGTGCAGTATATGAAGAATACGGGCAGCTTTGCGCACACCAGTCGAGTAGTCGGGGATTTGCGAGACCAGGCGTTAGCGTTGATTGAGACGATCGATGCTACGCCGAAGATCAACGGAGCTGGTGATGGGCAGATGGTACGTGCTATTGTTGAAAAGATCGTGGAGTCGACGCTGTCGGATCCCAATGCGCGCTAGTTGGTTCTTTGTTCTTTTGGTATGATTTTCTGGATGTCGTGTATTTGTTGGATATACCCAGTTCCAGTTATCCTGTTTTCACAATTTTGCTATGTAGCTATGAGAGTTCACGATGATATGATTTATGACATGGATTTGGGAGTGTAAATTGTTCAATTAGCTGTCCTCAACAGCATGAAAGTAAATGGCAATGTCCATGTCTATGAAGTAAGGGTATAATCACATCCCTGCCATCATGAGTCGTCGGCTGAACCTAGACTTGAGGTATACTTATGTAGATGGTAGATGATCTAGAAACGAGAAACCGACAGCGCAAAATGTCACAGGCAAAACAACAAACATCTGTCCACAAACACAGCTATGCATCTATGTATATGTCCCAAACACCGAAACCACAAGCTCACATAACCACACAGCAAGCCTTCTCGAGCTTCCGCAGAATCCTGGGCACGAATTTCTTGGCCAGCTCCTCGAGCTCGTCCGGCTGTTGCTGCTGTTGTTGTTGCTGGTGTCCTTGCCCATGCTGCTGCTGCTGGTGTTGCTGGTGTCCCTGTTGTTGACCCGGGTATCCAGCCCCACCCTGGTAACCAGTCGAAGGAGGCATAACAGCCTCACCACCAGTCAAATTGACATAGATGCGACCATCGTTATCCTCGGTGGTATACTGCAGCCCCAGCTCCCGACACACCTGCTCGACGCGCGGCTTGATTTTCTGAATATGATTCGCGGAGTGGTTCCCCTTGCCGACGATACTATATCGCGAAGCGGTATTAGTCGCGTTGCGTTGCATCGCATCTAGCGCAAGAGATACAATATTCTCAGGGGCTCGTTTCCGCCACTTACACATGAAGATGGGTCTGCCCATGCGACTTGGCATACTTGATCCGCTCTTCTAGGATCTCCTCGGCCTCCTCAGCGAACTGTCCGTGCAGATCGATGGTGTCGGCCTCGACGCGCCCATTGGCGTTGTTCTCGCGGAAGATGAACTCGGAAGCTTGTTTGTTGTACTCCTCCATCTTGCGGCCGTGGGCCTTGCCCTCCTCAGAGAGTTGCTTGGCGCCGGCGCCATCGCCGCTCGAGTAGGCTTCCTTCGACTGGTGGGTGGGTGTTAGCGTGTTGGAATGACTACAACTACAACTGCGATTGGAATTGGAATTGGGTGCTCACGTACCCGACTGAAACATTCGCCGCGCTTGGAGGCTTCCTGGCGCGCGAGGTCGCGGAGCCGGTCGTACTCTGCCTCGGCGTCGCTGCTGCTCTCGTGGTTGAAGGCTGGGACTGTTAGTGCTTGTCGTTCGTTTCAAGAGGGATTGGCGTATTACCCCGAGGGCCCAATTGGGACATTTCGTGCGACATGATTGTGGTTATAAGAAGGGAGCCTGGGGAAGGGGAAGGGTACCTTTTTTAAAGTGGAGAAACCGAGAAACCACATCGATCGAGGAACTCTCGTTGGGTACCAAGGTTTATTGGTCTCGATCGGTGGAACGATCGCCGATGGGATTCACATTGTGGTTATTATATAGCTGGGATATTATGTAGAAGAGTATGTATGTTGTAGATATGTATGAGTATATTACAACTGATTAGCTAGAAATCTTCATCTAGTAGCCTAGATAGGTGTGGATCGATCCTTGGAATGATCTACGCAGTTTGTAACATTGGCTCTAGAACTGCAGTAATTTATTCTTGTGCGAGGTTGTATCCAGTCTATCCAGTCACTATGCATACACCTGAGCATATGTACTTCTCTGCCAATCTGTCTTCCTGAAACCGTGTGCCATTTTCCATATCTTGCATGTCAATTGTCAATCCCTTCAATCAAGGGCTAAGTATTGGCGCCCATCTACTGCACTATGCAAGCGGTGGATTCTCATCTCGCCTTGGAAAGTACATAGCGGGGCTGGGTGGTTAAACCGTCCATTATCATCCTCGGTCTTTTTTTTTCTTTTTCCCTGCTCAATTGGTCTGCAGTGGTGTAGACGACCAGGCTCTTGGTTGGCACTAGAGCATGTCCGTGAGTAAAGGATCATAGTGACCACCAGTTCCGGCTGTTTACAGAGACCTAAAATGCGGACATTAGAATAATAAGCACAACAGTCACACGCGCAAGGCAGTGTGAAAAGGTGGAAGATCAATCAAACCGCTGACCACGGCAATAAAGGGCCATGTACCGTGTTTTTATGTCACGATCATCCAGCTAGCATACCAGACTGCTCTCTTGGTATATTGATCTCACGGTCTGACCCGTTCATAAGCGTTATTCGATTCCGTCAAGCCATGTGTCAACGTGCTTTTTCTTTGCACTCCGGTGCTTTTCCACGTCAGATTCGGCATCATCGGGCTCTTCTTCTTCGTCACTGCTTTCCAAATCGACCCATGAATGCTGGTATATGGGTTTTTCGCTAAGAGGATAACCAGTTCCTCTCAACCATCCAAATATCCCACAGGTTGATCCTTCCGAGTGCGTTTGCGTGAAGAAATCATATTTGTAATCGCTGAGTGCTGCCGGTGTCATATTGGGGGCGGAATGCGGTGTTTGATCGGTGGACTCGCTGTTATCCTTTCTGAAATCCCGAATTGAATCGTCATTTGTCAACATCCATTCCCAAGACTCGTATTCTAGGCAATGAGCACATTGAACATGGTGTCGGACGCCCAGGTCTGTGTCGCAAATTGGTGTGCTCCCAAAGGGCTTCCAAGGCCAGATTGGAGGTCGGTCATGGCCTTCACAGGCAGTAATGAATGACAACCGGCATTCGTCATCGCGGCGTATTGATTCACCATCACTAGTCCCCATTTTAGAGGTCAAGAATGTCTGTGCTGTTTTGACCCAGGCCGATGCTGCAAGATCGAAAGCTACCATTCCTGTCCGCATGTCACGTAAAATTTTCGTCGCGGGACCTGTGAGAATTGCACCAAGCCAGAGAGGTCCGAGTAGAGGCTTTCGAGTTGCCAAAAAAGGGCCCAATTCATTAGGTGAGATGGAATTGAGAATCGCAAAAGCCGGGTTCAACCAGGCGCTGACGAGATTGCACTCAATATCTGGATTGAAAAATGTGCTATATAGAATAGAACGCAACCCCCATATATTGCAGCTCAACGTCATATACTTAGGAAGTAATTCGTTGTGCTCAGCAAGAAGATCTGGAATAGAAACAGGCGAGCCATTAACACGATGTGTTAGTTCCGGCCGAGAAGCTTGTCTTGGAAGGGGAAGTGATATTGGTCCCTCCCCTAGGAATGGAATGAAGAGCACCCCAGCAAGAGCGACCGAGCACTGGGCATAGAGATGATGGCGCACACAGAAACGCGAGAGATAGTTGAGAGCGGTTTCCGACGATGGTGGTTCTGACATGGCGCTCAAAAAATCCTTAGTGGCCAAGTTAAATCCCGCCTTCTTTGCCGAAATCGACCATGGCGACAAATATACGTGGCCATTATATTTCACGGTCGCATCCCAGCCTTCGTCAGAGCCCAAAATAGCCTGCCACCAGCGGACTTCTTCCTCAGAAGCATCGTGGCCGATGTCAATTTGAACAAGAGATTGATTGTTCGGCTGTGGCAATCGACCCTCTATCCGATCCGTAGTGTAGCCCATATGACATTCGTGGTCAGCAGAGCGATTAAGCAACTCAACCCATCGAGCAGATAGGATATAAGCCCATGCAAAGTAAAGAACGGATAGGTAGTTTCCTTCGTCATAGCCGGAAAGCCCCTGAACTCCAGGCCAGTCTGAAAGAGGAGCATCTTCAGACAATTCCACACTTATTTGACGGTCAACTGCTAATAGAAGTTGCTTCGGCAAAACCTTTGGTGGTAGGTCACAGATTCCTTTAGAAGTCTTCCACGTTGATCTGCCATTGATGTGAAGTATGTCTTGGGATTTATTTTCCTCGCAAGCGAACGAGATTGTCTCGTTCGAAGCAAGGCCATGACCGAGGAAAGGCGGGGTCTGACTGACGAGAGGTCTCATATTTATGGCTTGTCGGGGGATAAGGCCCTGTTTGTCCCCAGTACCCAGATACGAAGTCCATATCTTGAGACTCTGCTGGAGGACCTCGCTGAATTCATCATCACTTGGTCGCAGGGCATCACCCATCGTCGCACACTAGCAAGTTGGATGCTGCGCGAGCGTTCGGGGACTATAGAAGTAGGTACAAAATGATGAGTCAATGTGCGTATCCTAAGTGGAGCTCTTCGAAGGGTATACTTTGTAGAGGGGTTGAAGGAATTGAGGTTGTGAGTAGCGCGGGTTTTTTTATTTCATTATCGATGTACGTCACCTGATATGAAGGCAGCCATTGGAACTGATCTACAACATGCATGGAGGGAGAGATGTAATTTATTCTTGTATGAGGCTGTACCTAAGTAATATAGTGTATTATCAGCACATCCCGTGACTTCGGCAATTCGCCAGTTTAGGTCATGTTTAGACACTAAGCTAAACCGCGAAGTTCAATAGTCTCCATTGCCACGAGGCGCCAAGTGGAGTCTAGTATCAACTTTGAAACTCCTCACGCAAATTAGCGGCGAAAACGGCTAGGGGCACCAGTGGGTCGTCTGGTGCAGAACTTGAGCCTTGAGGAGACAACCTTAGGGCGCCATTGGAACGAGGAAATCCCTTCAGTTTCACTATCGAACCGATTCGGGGATTTCCCTGGGCTCACTGACCTCCTTTTCAATCATGCTGACGTAGAATTGTTGGATTCATCAGTCGAGGGGCTGAGCAGTAATGTTGAAGGTGTGACAGTCTGTCTCGGCATGGTACTATGTATGTTGTACCTATTGGGTTGTCCGTATTATTGTACCTCAGAAGTTTCAAGGAAGTATCAAAGAACTGCACATGGATGCATGGGATGAGGCGCAGACTAGTCTGATTGGGCAGGAGTCTTGCTTTGTTTCTTTGTTTCCTCAAATTGAAACTGAGAACTGCTGAGGTGAGGTCAGACGTCAGGGTTTATGTTGTATGCACCGTGTGGGGAGTAAATTGTATGATATACTAAATGTACATAAAGTGTTCTTCAGGGGTTCGCTCCCCAGACTCCCTGAAGAGCCAGAATTCTAAGTTTCCTGTTGTTGCTAGCATTGTAATTTGATATGCTAGTTTTGCTCTCCACAAGATCTGCACGCCTCCAGGAGTCCACCGGCATTTTTATATATACAAAGTGCCCGGGTACAGTGCTCTATTATGGAGCATTGGTATGAAGGGCTGACTGTCTGAAACAGAATGTTCCATAGATGCACGTATACATCGACATCCTCTGAAAATAGAATCTCTGATGCAATGCCCGTGGAATATCACCAGCCAAAAAAGCAAAAGGGGCTGAATGGGCCAGTCAGGTCCCCACACCGCCCAATCAGCTCACTGCAGTTGCCGGGGTGGTATTGTTTTGTAACTGGTAATCTGTGTACGGAAAACACCATACCATTTCCTCCGATAACCGCCCCAATCACCCATGCGCTGCTTAACTGCCGTGGTATTACCAGCGTATCCCCTTTCTCTGCTGAAACTTTCCCAATTTCCCCCCTCAGTCTTGCCGTCCTGCCCCTTACCTTTGAACAACTTGTATCTCTTCTCTCTCTCTTCTTCTTTTCCAGATTGGATTCTATTTGAATTCCTCTGGGTCGTTTCTTTTCATTTCTTTCCTTTATACCCTGTTGCCGATTTGTCCTTCGTTTTTGCAAATCGCAAAAGAACCTTCAGGTGGGTACCCTTTTTTTTTCCCCTTTGATCCTGTCAATTGGCTATTTGCTCTGGAAACTCGGTGCCAACTCCTTGCATCGGCACGCTTACACCAACTCTGAAACACCGTCTGCCTTTGCTCAGCGGTGCTTGTGCTACCTATGCAACGCCTCCTCGAGCCCGTCAATGCGATATTTCCGGAAGAAATTATTCCAGCTTGCTGACAGTGATTCGCCTTGTACAGTCCCTGTAACAAACTATCGAATATCCCTCCACGAAGAACCCTCTATCCACTTTCACACCGTTAATTGCGACTTCATACCGTCAAAATGGGTTGCGGAATGAGCACCGAAGATAAGGAGGGAAAGGCGCGGAATGAGGAGATTGAGAATCAGCTCAAGCGCGACAAGATGATGCAAAGAAACGAGATCAAGATGCTGTTGCTCGGTATGATCCATTGAGTCCTGATGGAAATATGTACAGATGGCTGACTGGGTATACAGGAGCCGGAGAGTCGGGCAAGTCCACCATTCTCAAGCAGATGAAGCTGATCCACGAGGGTGGATACTCTCGCGACGAGCGTGAATCATTCAAGGAAATCATCTACAGCAATACCGTCCAGTCGATGCGCGTCATTCTCGAGGCCATGGAATCCCTCGAGTTGCCCCTGGAGGATGCGCGCCACGAGTACCACGTGCAGACCATTTTCATGCAGCCCGCTCAGATCGAGGGTGACAGCATTCCCCCCGAGGTTGGAAACGCCATTGGACAACTTTGGCGCGACACTGGTGTTCAGGAGTGCTTCAAGCGCTCGCGCGAATACCAGCTGAACGACTCTGCCAAATAGTGAGTAGTGACCGCTCGTCTGTCGCATTGCGACGTGGCTAATTCGTTTTCTTTAGCTACTTCGATTCCATTGAGCGCATTGCCCAGCCCGACTACCTCCCCACCGACCAGGATGTCCTCCGTTCCCGTGTCAAGACCACCGGTATCACCGAGACCACTTTCATTATCGGTGACCTTACATACCGCATGTTCGACGTTGGTGGTCAGCGATCCGAGCGCAAGAAGTGGATTCACTGCTTCGAGAACGTCACCACCATTCTGTTCCTCGTCGCCATCTCCGAGTACGACCAGCTGCTCTTCGAAGACGAGACCGTCAACCGTATGCAAGAAGCCCTGACCTTGTTCGACTCGATCTGCAATTCCCGGTGGTTCGTCAAGACCTCGATCATTCTGTTCCTCAACAAGATCGATCGTTTCAAGGAGAAGCTCCCCGTTAGCCCGATGAAGAACTACTTCCCTGATTACGAGGGCGGTGCCGACTACGCCGCGGCTTGCGACTATATCCTCAACCGTTTCGTCTCCTTGAACCAGGCCGAGCAAAAGCAGATCTACACGCACTTCACCTGCGCAACTGACACTACCCAGATTCGATTCGTCATGGCAGCAGTGAACGGTAAGCTCAGCCATCCCAACCCAGTGCGCAACACTTGTCTAACGTTTCACAGATATCATCATCCAAGAGAATCTCCGTCTATGCGGTTTGATCTAATGAACTATCGTTTGGTGAAGTATGTCGAACCTAGATCGCATGTCTTTATTAACCGGGGCTGATCAGAACCGGTCGAAAATCCCCGTTTCGAGATCCCGGCGTTGATTCTCTTTTGCGTTTCCTTTTCCTAATCTCCATTTGCTCACGTTCTAATTTTCCCTGCCATCTACACAGCCTCTAGCCGGTTTTTGTGTTTTCTCTTGTCCTGATATCCACTACAGAAAACAAGAAGTATTCCCCTCCCTTCTTTTTCTCTTTCCTATTTCCTTTCCACCTTTTTTTTTGTGATCCTTCTGATTTGAATGCTGGATATCATATCATCTCTCCCCTAGTTCTTGTTTATGTATGTAACCATATCGTCTCCCCCCATCATTTTCCTTGGTCTCGCGTCCGTTGGAAGCCAAGAGCGTCCATCCGGGCATTGGGCACGGGGAAATGCCAGGATCCGCGGATTTGAATGTTTCCTTCTCATGTGTCATGCCAGTCGGTCGTCGGGTTATTTCAGAGTTCAAGGATTGACTCTTAAGGTTCTGACTCTTAATTCCATACTATTTCTATACCTCGATGCGTGTTATATTAGTCTCCCAAGTAGATATCGACAATAGTGTGATTTGCAAAGAGGTATATGCAGAGCAAAAAAAAGGGTATCCGCATAAAGATAGAATCAAACTGTCATAAACAGAGAGACGAAGACAGAGCGCCGAATTATGACAGTCTCAAAACCTCAACTTCGGCCCAACATAAACAAGCAGAATAGCAACAACCCATAGCCCGAAAATCCACGCATACAGCATCATCCGCCCCCACAACCCTTTACCCTCCGTCATCTTGCGCAACATCCCCATCCTCTTACCCGCCGCCTCCATCGTGGTACTCGTGCGGTCGATGCCCGACACCGCGCGGTCCAACGCCGACTTCTCGCCTTCCAGCGTCGCCTGGAAGTTATGCGAGGAGGCTTTCAGCTGCGAAGCAAGCGCGAGGAGAGAGCTTGTCAGATCTTCCTGTTCCAGTCTGTGGGTGCTCAGTTCGGATTCTGTTCCGGAGAGCTTGGTTGTATCCCTTCCAGTCGCAGCTGCTTTTTCAGTGGATAAGGGTGGTGCGGGGTGGGTTGTGTAGCGGTTTCGTAAGGTCGGGGGTGATGCTTGTGCTGGTAGGCTTGTTGATGAGGGTGTGGATGTTGGGGTTGTTGTTGCTGGAGTCGCTGTTGCGGAAGAGGTAATCGTGGTTTGGCTCTCTGTTTTTACTTCTCGTTGCGAATCTGATGGTTTTGCCGGTATCTGCTGATCTTTGCGCGAGACAGTTTTCTTCTCGGTGACGGGCTTGGAGAATAGCTCCTTCCATTCGTCGTCGATGTCGTCGGTCTCGTCTTCCTCATCTTGCTTCGCTTCGGCTTTGGCTGCTTCTTCCTCGAGGACAGTCTGTATGCGTTTCAGGAGCTGTCTGTCGCGCGCGATCTCGGCTTGTGCTTCGTGTTTGCGGTCGAGGGGTTTAGTTTGTGGGAGGGAGCGCTCGAGTTGGGTGAGGAGTAAGCGGGCGTATTCGACGTTCTGTAGCATTGATTAGATTCATACTTGTCTCTTGAAAGTGAAGTTTTGGAAGTGAAGTCCTGGAAGGATGGAGTAATTTATTACCTTGTTCACGCGCATTCGCTGGTATTCTGATTGTTGGAATGCCCGCCGGTCTGTCCCCGGAGAGAGGAGATTATGCTCGAGTCTGGTGAAGAGGCGAGCAACATTGAGAAGAGCGAGATCTGGAGATCCCTCGGATGGAAATGTCGTTACGGCCATGGCTGTGGCTTGGAATTACAAAAGTGAGTTGTTGCAGGTTGAAGATGTGGCATCGATGTACTCCGTAGAGCGCGCTTTCGAGATGACTCAGCATTGGCGCAGCTCCCGAGGTGGGGAACAACTTAACAAGTGGATCGGGTTGAATTTGACTACAGCATGTACATCTATGGATGTAATCTATCCAAACAAGTCCACATGGTTAGATTATGCGCCAAGATTCTCAAAGGCTCGCAACTCCCTCGATGCCAGCACAGATGAAGCGGAGGGCCTATTAACCGGATCGGGTACCAACATGAAACGAAGAAGATCTCTCAGCTGGTCCGATATCTCCAACGTTTTTGTCTCCTCGTCAAAAGATAAGATTTCTTGTAGTTTTGGCTCGGTTTCAGTCATAGACTGGGCACAATTCACTACTGCTTTAACGAAGTGGCCATCGACCTCATCAGGTGTCGGAATATCCCACTCGGGAAAGAGCCGCTTAATCTTCACTATAGACCAAGCCTCGTTCAGGAAAGGATGATAGCTACCCCACATGCCTAACACGCCCGGTTTGATCCAGCAAAGCAACATCGCAGCAACTGCCCAGACCTACGATGGCTCTGCACATGCTTGGCCAAGGTAGACTTCAGGGGCTCGCATGGCATATGGCTGGGCGTGGCGTAGGTGGCCAACCGGGACCACTATAAGTGTGTGATATTAGTGAAAGCGTATTTCGTCTATTAGTATTTGCTTACCGAGCCCCAAATCTCCCACTTTAGCGGTGATACGGTCAGAACCGATGCCAGAAAGCAGAATATTAGCAGGCTTATAGTCTAGGGTAGTTAGTATATGCTAACTATTTCAACGTTCCAAGGTTAATAATAGGGACTTTACCAGTATTCACATATTTGGAGTCCTCCAGAACGACACAGCTAGTCAGTGCTGCTCTTTGAACAGAAACAACAAGCGAATGAGTGCCCATATCATTAGGCTGGTATTTCAACTCTGCAAGAGTGGTATCCAGCCATTCTAAGGCGATGGTACTATCGTCGATCACGTCGTACATCTTCCGGAAGTACTGACTAGAAGAGACACCAGGAAGATGATAAGCATGACGTTCGCGTTCCAGATTCAGTATGGCAGTTGCATCGTCAGGTAAAGCCCCTTTGATAAAAGCCCTATGCAGCCAAGTTAGCCTTTAAGTCTAGTTATTATATCTTTATATGATAAATGAACCATTTGGGAGCCTTGGAAATGTTATGATGATTCTCATGTGGAACGACCTCGGCTTTGAAGACATTAGAGATATGTGTGCTATCCCCCTTAACGTGGTTGTGGTTGAGAATGCGGTAGTTCCAGTGGGTACCTTGAAGAATACTCCCAGGTGCGAGTGACGACATGGCTCGAATCAAAGGATTTTTTGCAGTCAGTGGAGCGAGACGGATGAGGTACATTGTGAAAGGTTATATAATGACGAGTGTTCATATGCGTGGAAGAGGAGAAGCCTGAAGGATTGGATGATTCTTGCCGGCACCAACCCCTTGTAGCTGCGTGGCTGTGTCAGCTGAGATTTGAATCTTGAATCTCCTATCTATGGCACGTCCTACACTTGATCTCTGTTTGGATACCTTGAATCTGATATATTCTATGTTCGCTACCATTCACTTCTCACAGGACGGCATGCGTCAAGGAAACGTCACAGTTCGATTTGAGGGCTCACCCTACTTAAAGACCAATAGATGATAATGACTCTAGCAAATTTTGTGAAACTGCCTCTGTAGTTACAGCTACAAGCGATTCATTTAACAAGTCTGAGGCACTGGTCGCCTCCGAATATCTCCACAATATGCCTCCTTCGTGTTCCATTCGCAATATCAAACGGCCGAATTAGATCACACGACGATGAAGTGATGGACTGACAGATCTGGTAGAGCTCTCACTGGGCTCATCGCCCAAAATCTCAGCTGACAGGGCCTCTCTTGCTGACGGGGCCCTTTTATGCTAGGCTATGTAGCATTGGAGGGCTTTACAAGGTATCTTATTTTGGTCGAACCGATTGCATAGAATTGCCACTCCGGCTGCCATGGCCAGATTAGCAAGTGCGTCTCGACCTCTGTGGCTCTTTCCGCAACTACGTCGTTGCCTTACGGCGTCAGTGCGTGCCTTCCAATAACGAACTTGCCGCCTGGCGCGCTGATGTCGACGATGATAGCCACGGCATTATCCGGCGCACCGATAGTGTTGAGCATGTTCCTTTGCTCACTCAAAATAGTGCACCCATCATGCTTCAGCTGTGCTAAGTTAGTGATTGAAGGGACACGGGCGGAAAGACCTACATGCCTGGGTCTTGCTGAACTCGATAAGTTCGTCGGCTGTCGCGGATTTCTTGATCTCGATCGGGATAGACATCATACAGAGCAAGAGCAGGCAATGTAGTAGAAAGCAGAGCTGTGGGGGGTAATGACTTGACCGTGTAGCTGAACCCTTTGGAATAGATGCCCAGCCCACTCGGACGTGCGTGCCCAATGAATGACTGACTAACCACCAGGTACCACCAGGGCCCCAGGGCTAGATACCTTACATAGGTAGGTACCTTACAGGTTCTATGGGGACGCTTTACTATATATATATATATGTATGGATCGGGGGACTTGGACGCTTTCGAGATGATTCGGCATCATCCGGATCCCAGAATAGTGGATCGGCTTGGGTTCAACTACATTATTTATACCTCTTTGGATACAAAAAGACTAGTTGTCTACAGCTAAACAAAGTTCTCTACGGACAAACTGAAGCCCCTCCCGAGGTCGCTTTCGTTCGTTGACATAAGAGGAGCTAACCAGAGGAGATATATATAGGCATCTGCGCAGATCTCTATGGTCCTGATTGGTACACAGTACTATGGGGCAGACACATGCACTGGCTCAGTCCAGCCCCTGTCCCTGAGACTTTGTCATCTGCAGGAATGCGGAATATCCACGACATAGGGCTACACATTAACGAGGCCCAGAGGACTTTATCTGATACTTGAATTACTTATACTACACCAACCCCTTTTCGATCCCTATTACTGTTCTCAATTCGACTCATTTGCAATTGGCTTGTTTCTTTTCCCACATTCAACGGCTACAATGTCGTTCGGTTTCTCAATTGGAGATATTGTACTCTGCAGCCAAATTACCTGTCGGTTACTTACAGCCGCAACCTCAGGTCAAAAGAATGCACCACGCGATTTACAAGAACTTGGAGATGTTCTGTTCGCCTTGAATTGCTCCCTGAGCCAGTTGCAAAGAGCCGCTATGGTTATCTTGTCCAGAAACTCTAATACTTCGGACCATGGCGCCACCGATCTATCTCAACAATTAGGGTTAGTGGTACGCTCGTGCCTCCAAACCTTAGAACATCTCGAAAGCGCCACAGAAAAGTATCGAGCAACAGTGACCACGCCTTCGGTAGGATCGCCTGATGGACATGGATTCAATTTCTTGCACTCTCGACGATTGATTGTTCAAGTCAAAACACAATGGCGGCGCATCATGTGGCATCTCAGATGCGAATCCTTGAGCCGATATCGACAGAAGCTCGAGTCGCAACTTGATGCGATCAATCTTCTCTTGAAAACCCTCATATAGTACGTCTTACAATGCAATCCATATCTGAATCTCTTGTCGCTGATACATTCCAGGTCCGCGACCGATCATATCGAACAAGGCGATGATTGATAACTAGTTGATCATGTACAATTCAATTTATACAACCAAGCCAAGCATTTTGAAGATGTTCCTCGAGCTACAAGGTGGCTAATTGCCAGATTTCAACCTTCTTCTAATATATCATAACCACAATACGTGGCATATTTAAATGTATATGTATTGCTAAACAAGCTTAACAAAAATAAACCCATCTGCCGCCCAAAAAAAACCAAGCCCACGCTTCTCATTATTCGTAAAATAGTAAAGACAACGATAGGGAGGGGAAACCAAGAAAGAAGGCATAACAAAAGAGCAAGGAAAAGAAAGATAACAGTCCCACGGAATCCCCGGCTGAGATACAAGCGAAAAGAAGACCGCTCAAGTCCGACAAATGTACGGAATGAATAAACCCCGGAAACAGGCGGCCAACTATCGATACTCAACGACAAGACGTTTCCAAGTGCGCACACCCCCGGCATCCTCGTCGCACATTTGCTGAGTTGATTCAACGCGTGTTTGCACCTCGCAGTCAGGCGAGGAAGCCATCGAAGATGCAGCACTTCCACTTTGCTGCTCTCGGGCCCGTGCAGCGAGGGCTCCACTGCTTGGCAGGAGGCTTGTACGGGATAAAGGTTGCAGGATATCGCATGCCGATGGGTGCGAGCCCGGTGAGAGGATGTTTCCTTTTTCCATGGCAGTAGATTGGAGCCAGACGTCTTGATTTTTTTCTTTGAGTCTAGATGTAGAGATTATGTGTGCTTGTCTCATACGACGATATTTGATATATCGGTGGAGGAGGATGAGAGTGAGAAGTGAAAAGCTGACCAGGCTGGTCACTGGTAGAAACCACTTTGTGGTCAAATGCAGGAGATCACAAGATAGGTAGTTGTATCCTTGTTCCACGGCATTCATGACGAGGTGTTGGGTGGTTGGATAGCGTCCACCACTCGCGAAGAATATGTTGAAACTGCCTCCCCTGTGGAATGGGGAAACAGCTCAACTTAAAACTGCGTGTGTGGGAAAGTAAATCTAGATGGCCAGGGTTTGGAAGATTTTAGCGAGTCAAAGATACCAGTGTCGAGTCGAGACTATACGCGGAGTTGGCGGGGAGGCGAGTGGAAGGAACTAGTGGGATGGAGTGCAGGGGTGGGCTTTTTAGGTGATATATAAAGAGCTAGAGGTTAAGTATTATGGAGTTGTAGACCCAATTTAGACTATAGTGGGGGAAAGATCGAAGGTGATCACCACTGAAGCATACCGGGATATGGTTTCTCTGCCATACATCTGACGGAAGAAAACCGAGACCGAATGCCGATATTTTTAACGTGGCAAATCAGAATTAGTCGACAGGTCGCAAAGTCAAAGTCAAAATCCAATTTACAACACAGAACGAACAGGATCTCTTTGCCGTACAACATCGTGACTGACAAGTACAACATATACCCCAAAATGTGGATAAATATGGCCCAGCCAGCCCTGTCTCCACTCAGCTTACCTTCTAAACGCCACCGGTTTAACATTTTTTCTGTTCATGACGGAGGAATATGTCTATCTTCTTCTTAGGACCCTGAATTCTAGAATATTTGACCTATTAATGCACGCGGAGAGAAACATGTCGATCATGACAAATGTACGGAGTAGTATGTACGAAGTACTCCGCCATACGCCTCTTGGAGATCGCCTTTGTCTTTGGCTTTCAGCTGGCGCCTGCATGGGTCCCCCGCGCTAAGCCATTTCATACATCGAATCACACCGCGAGATGCCCTACTCGGCTATTTTAGTGGGCTACGCGAACCCATGCGAACAATCATTCATCTACTTTTCCCTCCCCCTTTGGCCCCATCTTCTGCCAGTGTGCACTGTCCATATAGGGGTTGGTCTGACTGGCTCGGCTGTTATACCCTGCCAATCACCGAAGGACACACGAAATTAGAAGTATGGTGCACATACTCTATATTGTGCCGAGGCATCTCTTATACCTACTCACTGGATTCATTCCTGGAAAAAAGGAAAAACGCTAGGATATATAAATTGTAATATAAACAAAGTTTAGAGTTTCGCAGCGACACTCTTCAGCTCCTCCTTGGCTTGCTCGCGGAGTTTCATGCGAAGAATCTTGCCTGATGGATTCTTAGGTATCGCATCGAGAAATACGATTCCGCCGGTAATCCGCTTAAACGGGGAAACCTTGTTATCCAGGAAATGCGCGATGTCGTTCGAAGTGGCGGATTGGCCCGGTTTAAGAACCACATATGCGCGAGGGCGCTCATCGCTTTCGCTAAACAGGATCAGAAGCGAAGAAAAAAAAAAGATCCATAAAAAAAGTCGGACTTACACGATAACACCGATCACCGCGACGTCTGATATCGCCGGATGTTCAAGTAGAAGAGCCTCTAATTCGGCGGGCGCCACCTGGTTGCCTTTGACTTTGATTAATTCCTGTTCGTATTAGTTTCTTTCTTCTTTCTTCTTGTAAACAAAAAACTCACCTTCATTCGATCTACAACATGAATTTTGCCATCGTCATCCACAAAGGCAATATCGCCCGTCCGGAGCCAGCCATCCGCAGTCTTCGTCTCTTTAGTGGCCTTCTCGTTGCGCCAGTAGCCTTTCATGACATTGGGAGCGCGAACCCACAACTCGCCACGCGAGTTTCGCTTTTTCACCTCGGCTCCATCAAGCGATATGATCTTCGCCTCACAATTGGCATTGAGCTCACCGACAGACGCAGATGTACTAATCTCGGAAGGGTCCCAACCCGTAACCGAGCAAGTCGCCCTATACAGAAGCAGATCAGTTTAGTTTCTAAGAATCGGCTAGCAAAACAACAAACTCACTCAGTCATTCCCCATCCCTGTTTAATATTAATCTTCCCGGGAGGCCACAACCTCTCAACCTCCTCACAAACCTCCCTCCCCAACGGCGCAGCACCACTCCCAACCAACTCAACACTACTCAAATCAAACCCCTTAACAGCCGGATGTTTCGCTAACATAACAACAACCGGCGGCACGAGGATAAGATCCGTAATTCGGAATTTCTGCGTATACTCTAACATCTTGACAAAGTCAAACTTGGACATGATATACACCGGCGTGGCACGGTACAGCGCCGCCGCAATGAAGATATTCTGCGCCATCGCGTGGTACATCGGCAGGAAGCATAGCCAGCGGGAACGCGCAAGACGGGCCTCGTAGTCCGGACGCAGGCTTGCCGTGTGACAGTATTGGATCATATTAGCGACGTAGTTCTTGTGCGAGATCTCGACGCCCTTGGGGCGGCCGGTTGTGCCGCTGGAGTAGTTGAGTGCTAGTGTGCGGGACGACAGGGTCGGTGTGTTAAGTTCGTCCCAGATGAAGGCGCGGCCTTCTTCTTCCGAGGCGAGGAGGTCGCTCCAGTATGCGCAGCCCTTTTGCGGGTTTGTCACGCCGTTGTAGATGGAGCTGTCATAGGCGAAGATGCGGCTTTGGGGGAGATTGGCTTGCTTGGCAGCTTCTATGCCTGTTTCCAGACTGCTGCTAGCACAGATTAGGTAGATGGCGCCGCTGTCGCGGAGTTGGTAGGCTAGTTCGCGGGCTACGTAGCTTGGATTCGCGCCGGTGAAGATTCCTCCCGCCATTATCACGCCTAGGAATACTACGGGGAAGAAGAGGTCGTTGCCGGAGAAGAGGAGGATGCGGTCTCCTGGTTGGAGTCCTGATTTGCGTAGTCCGGCGGCGAACCGCTGGCTCCAGAGACGGAGATCATAGGTGGTGAGATAGTGGGTTTCTGGACGGGCAGCTTCGAAATAGCACTTGTGTGTCTTGGAAAGAGGCGCCGTTGGGGATTTAAGGAGAAGAGAGGCTAAATGGATGTCTGGGATGTCAATCGTCCAGCGGGATTTATACGGCATGTTGGTTATGCTAATGTTATCGATATATGGAGAGAAAGATAACGGCGAGGGGGTCGTATAAATAAGGAGTAGAACGTTAAATCCTGCATCCTTCGCAGTTAATCTCCCCGCATTATCGGTTATGCTATACATATAGGGTTTGCGGGGAACCTGACTAGCCCGAGCCTCGGTTTTCACGCTGTACGGAGTAATAGATCAGTCATGGGACTAGCGTACTAAGCTCGTAGTGAATAGAAACCATGCGGTTCTTTCTAAATCCCATTAACATAAGGCAAAAGTCAGGTATTTGACTCTGGCCGCTAGTTAACCAACTATACCCCTTCGCACCTACCTCCATAGTCGTAACTTCCTGCCACCACAGCAGCAAAAGTGGAAGGAACGAGTGTAGAAAAGTACATGGAAACATCCTACACGAATATAGCCTGCACTATTGAAAATGCCAGTTGCTGCCTATCAAAGGTTATACGCCGCCCTTTCCGCCATCTACCCAAAGATATTTAGAAAGAATAGAACGCAAAGGACTGCCAAAGAAAGACTCCCATCGAGCAAACTGGATCATGTCGCTCTCAGCCACATGAGGTTGGCTATTCTTGCATTCATCAACCGAAAAACATCCACTCTACAAGGCTACTAGGTCTCCACACACGAAGCTAATGTACGCTCTTAGGCCTATATAGATCGGTTCACGTTATTAAGTACCACCGATAATATTCCCCTTCTCTACGGCTATCCTCCAAATTCAAACCCAACCCCTGCGATGTTACCGCTAAGCAGCTTTGCCGAATGGCGTCGGCTATGTCTTCGGGTAATATCATGTGCATGAGAACCGGGGAGGAGGGATGTGACCTCGTTAGCTCATCCGCCAAGATCTGCAAGCAAGAGACCAATTAGGATCAAGCCAACTTGGTTTCCCCAAATTAGGCGTCCTGTCCTGCATGTGATAGTCCACTCCAAAAATAGAAACCAAAGGAATGAAGGATTGGGATAATGCAATTGTTTGAAACTTGAGCTTCATGCAAGAAATAATTCATTTACTACACCCCGCCAACCCAGAATACATGGGAAAAAAAAGAAGAGACAAATAGCAAAAAGGCTATAAAGAACATATTCATGAATCCTCCCCACTCAAACACGTAACTGTTGCCTTCAGCTCACTAACAAGCTTCTCCTCTAATCGGTTCTGTGACTCAGAAGTCGGGTCGACAGGCTTCTGTCGGGACCATTCCAGCTCCTTTTCATTGGTCGCGACAATGCGTGCACGCAGAGCAGCGCGGCGACCGAGCAGTTCCTCAATATCTTCCTTGACCTGCACCCTATCCCATTTGAGATCTTGGATGGCCTGTGCGTCAACTCCAGCACTGGCACCCGCCTCGCGGAACCGGTCCAGGATGAACGAAATCAGCGCAAGCGAGTAGGCTTCCGAGACCATGTTGAGGCTAATCCACTTGGATGTCGGAACCGAGGAAATGGCCGTATGGCTGGAGAATGCCTCTGTCGCGCGGGTCAGGCGAGATTCAAACTGGTTCAGGAATGCTGCCACCTCCGGCGCGGCCCGCATCACACTGTAGAGCATGTTCAGACACAGAGGAAGGAATCCACCAGTCCAGATGGCATACAGTCGGGGAACAGGATCAAAGGGTCCGAATGCTTTCTTTTGGCAGAGAATGTTTGTAAGACGGCAGGTGGACAGTTTCATCAAGACAGCATCAACAGCAAGGTGCTCTGCGAGCATGGGCAGGGTTGACATTTTGACCAGAATCGAGATGCTGAGCTCGGCGTACACAGGGTCGCCTGCAACGGC